TGAGGCTTTTTCTGTTCGCCGCGTTTGTTTACTCTCTGTGGAATCCATGAAAAAGGTGGTGGTGGTAGGTTTGGTTTGGTTTCTCATTCAAGGGTTGACTTGATTTGCATAAAAAGTCTTCCTTTTTTTCATTCATTAGTCCAATTTTCCCTATTCAATCACAACTCCAAACCGCATCGAACACAGATTCAATCGATTCATTATCTTCAAGCATTTGATGGTTTTGATGGTAGTTCTCTTTGACTTTTGGAGAAGCTGAACTAGTTGTTCTTCTCGGATCTAGTTAGTTAGTTAACTTGGTGGTCTCAAAACAAGCAGAGATATTGTTAATGAAGCTCAAGTATATTGCATTGATCAGTGCTTTCTTGTGGTCTATAGGGCAGAAGTAAAACGTTATGGTGAGCTTACGAAGGCGCAGGCTATTGGGGCTTTGTTGTGGTAATAAACGTTATTGACTATATGCTATATATGGTCTAACATTAGCATAATGCAATGTTTATCAGCTAGTTTTGCGGTCGGTCGTTTTGTTTCTGTAGGACCAAATGGTTATGTGACACCGCTTCCTTTTCTAACGGCTGAGGAGATGATCACCGGGATTCCAAATCCTAACGGTGGAGCTGCTTATAATCCCGGACCAGCAGAAACAGTTAAGCCGCCTCAAGAGAAGGAGGTAAGAAGAATGTTACACTTGTATTCATTTGCTAATTGTATGTTTCTACTCTTAGCAAATGTGCAATGGCAAGTGAAAGAGCTACCTATAAGTTACTCTCAACTATCTGCTTGCACTCCTCTGCTATTTCCCGTTAAAGTCTTCGAAGTTTGAAGATACATATAATGTTTCCTTATAGCGATTTAAGTGGTTTATAGATCAACCGTATCAATAAAATTTTGATATTCTCATTTATGATCGGTAAGATATGAGTGGATGCAAAGGTGTAGTGATGTGATATTATCTCGGTTTAGCGTTGCTTTAGCAGTTTCATACATCTAAATTCTAAAACCTGAAGTCAGAAAGAAGAGATACAACATTTGGTTGGAATTCGAGTCCTCCTTTAAGCTGCTTTAGTCGGATTTCAGCGACCAATCGAGCACATTAGATTAAATTTTCCATTCTAACATTTGAGTCTTTTTGTTTGGCAGGAAACGCCTATCGAAGAGGGGTCGCGCTCCCAGAGACAAAGAACTCGGTCAAAACATACGCATTTCAGGTCTGATTTCTCAGATATCTCACCAGTTGATTCGGGTTCCATCTCACCAAAATGGAAGCAAAACATAGGTCTGGTTTCTCGTCTACTAACTAATCAATGAGTAAGAACGAACAAATTATTTCATATTATTTATCTCCCATTACAGACCAGCCGCTAAAACGAAGAAAGCGGCATAAAAGAAAGCAAGGACAAAACCAAGAACCATGTTTGATGAGAGGAGTCTACTACAAGAACATGAAATGGCAAGCAGCCATTAAAGTCGAGAAGAGACAGATTCACTTGGGAACTTTCTCTTCTCAAGAAGAGGCTGCTCGTTTATACGACAGGTATATAAACTTTAAACTCAGATTCTTGAATTAAACTAAACCACACTGCCATTGACAATACCTCTACTATATTAGGGCTGCTTTCATGTGTGGAAGAGAACCAAACTTTGAGCTCCCGGAGGAAGATAAACAAGAACTCAAACGACAAAGCTGGGAAGAGTTTTTGGCTTGCACACGCCAAACAATTACTAACAAAAGTAAGGTTTTACTAAAGCAAATCATATTCTATATATTTCATTTATCTGACCAATTTTTGCTTGGTTCTCTCTGAATATCGCAGAACCGAAGAGAAGGATAGAGTACGAGGAACTCAATGGGAGACGTGTAACTGAGAGGATAAGTAGCTCAATGCGAGCATGTCCTCCT